GTGAATCACTATATGAATATGTTGATAGCACAGAATTCTGTGTCATCACTGATTGGCTGTCTAGCTCCTACAACCCCCCAGACCGAGTCCTTATTTGTAGATTTTCAAAGTCTCACGAAAATAGACAACATCTCGTCTCCCCCTTCAGTGAAAATAGACTCCAAGGGAAAATATAGTACTCCACAGTATGATACTTTATGGTTTGTCGACATGGTCTCAACATTCTTTTATACAAAGTTTCAAAAGCTTGTAATTCTTATTTATTAATTAACATATTCTTTATTTTGCAGGGTGATGTTGTAAAAAAGAATAATAATGAGGGTCTTGAGCGCCAAACTGACCCTAATATATTTACCACATCGATGACAACGTCAGCCAACTCCGATGCTTAAATTTTAATGTTTTTAATAATGACGAATTTCTTGCTGGACAAGTGAGAAAATGAATCTTCCTCTTATTTACAATTACTGGATCTATCACCCCAAAATGTGGGATGAACCATTTATGGTATAGGGGTGTAAGGTCCAAATGTGTTGAAGTCCATCCATCCATCCATCATATCTAGCTTCTATTTTTAGTTCAGTAAGTGTTATTGTCTATTTTACTCTGTTTTAAATCTGTCATTTGTAAATTATTCAAATTGTAGTTCATTATCACATAATTATGCAGGGTTAATTTGCCAAAAATGTTTATAAATAACAAATTTTAAAGTAGATTTTATAAAATATTGCAGACACACTGATATTTACATAATAAAATTCTATATGCTTTTTGTGATGGTGAGATTGGTGACTTAGAAATTTACTGGCATGAGATGTATGATAGCATCTTGCAGCAAATAAAATTCAAAATATTAAACTGGCAATAGCTGTGATTTTCAACATTTTTTTGTTTAAAGAGGGCCAAATCTTACCAAAATATTGTTTTAGACACAATTGCATTGGCAAAGTTATGTACACAAGGCTAGTGTCACATAAAATGCGATTTGACTTGTCGTTATTTTTTTTAAATCATTCATGTGATGGGGATCATACACTGTGATGGGAAATGACACATAAAATCATCACTGGAAGACTGTCAGTGAGTCTTTGATATTTGGCACAAGTCTTTTACCATAATCATTGAGGTTTGATTCACAAAATTGGATTTCAATAAATGGCGCCCTCTGTAAACTGGGATGCAACCCCCACAGCCATCTTTTTTCTTGTTTGCAAGTGATTTAATGTACAATGTCAGTATAGCATATATGATATGTTACCAGTGTCCACATTTTGGTAATTACAAATTGACATTAATGGCACGGAAATGTTTTATTAAAATTAAAAATCAGAGATTGATAGTTACAGCTATTGTCGCTTTAAGTATTCATGAACTACTCATGAATATTTATTTTTATTGGAACAATGTTGCAAATCTCACTAAATTTAGTTTTATTGGAACAATGTTGCAAACTTTAGTGTTTGGGTCTAATTCTGTAGTATTTTTTTAATTCTGTAAAATTGCATTTATTGTGAGCAATTTTATCAGTAGTTTGTGTCTTGAAAAATATTTTTATATCTAGTTTCAATATATAATAAGAAAACCTTTGTGTCCAAATATTTATATATAAAATGTATCATATGACAAGATTATTATTATACAAACTGTGATTGGTTGCTGTATTGCTTATTTGCTTTCCCTCTCAAAATGTATTGTTTTGTATATTTTATTGAAGATATACCTAATGCAACAGTTTGTAATTTTGGCAAACATGTCAGAAATTTTGAATTAGTCTGATTGAAATTTTGTAGTGTGATGATTATATCTGTAATATGAAACTTATTGCAAAAAAGCCAACTTTGTTGACGATTTTATTTCATATAGACAACATGTCAATCACTTGGTATCTTGTTGCTAGGCAACACATGTTTTCCACAAATGTTTTTTTTTTTGATGTGATAGAAATATTTTAAAAATAATGTATATCTAAATAGAATGTAAATATATGTAAATAATTTTATTTTGTCAGTTTTGTTTTCAATTACATGGAAAAATTTTGTATTGGCCTTATCATCAGGCAATTTATACGAGGGGAAAATTTCTTCGTTGTCATTGTTAACTCTGTTGTAAAACTTTTTCTTGTGGTTACAATAACAGTTGTTATCTAGTTTCTTTCAGACTTGGATATTATATTAACCAGTTTGTGATCTTAGCCAAATTTGGGGATGGTGAAATGTAAATTTTTAAAGACATTCATGAAATTTCACTTACCAGTAAAATTGTTGTTTTCTTGTGGCTACAATAACTTGAGCAATAGACATAGAAATAAGTAGACAGAATGAACATATTTATACTGCATATTATGGCAATTATCAGATTTTAGTAAATACATGTATGCTCTCCAAGATCTGTTAATTAGATAAATGTAAAAGTCTAATTTGTTATGAGTATTGTCAAGTCTGGCTTGTATTATATTTTGCTTATATTCATGCTTTATTTTGAATAAGGTGCATTGAGATTAATACAGTATATAATGCTTAGATACTACCGGTATATTATTGCATTGTTTCCGGACTTTCATACTCGATTTTGTCTTGCAAAAAAAAAAATATATCTTTAGTTTGTCCATCCATACATTTGTTATTTAATCAAGGTTCTCAATAGACAAGATTGTAATAGTTACGCTACGTTTTAATCAAATGGTTACAA